AGAAAGGTGTGTCCTCTTGTAGAAGTGGGGGAGGTTGGCTTGTTTTAACGATTTCTGTTCAATTTAACTGTGCGTGTGTGTCTGTATGAAGAGAGAAAGAGATGGCAGAAGAGTGGAGGACAATGATTGCAGCATATCAGAGAAGGGCTTGGTGTTTGATGAAGAGGAGGCGGAGGATGACTGCTGCGAAGAGGAGGATGTGTCCGCTCTTTCGGGTCTAGACAACTACCAGCTCTGCCTCAAATACCAGCAGGTACTCTGTGTTCAACCAGAGGTTTTAGCTTGGATTCATATTCTAAAACTAAAAGAAATGCTGAAAATCTGCATCCTTTCTTGTAATTGTTAATATATCCAGGTTTATTCATGAATTTGCTCTTTAATGTGCTTACAGCTTCAGTCCAAACTAAGAAGCAAAGCAACCCAACTTGAGCACACTAAAGAACAGGTAGGTCACTCAGTTGAGGTTGAGGCTCTGTGTCTCACTCGCAAACCAATGACTGTACTCACTTCAATACACTACCTTCGCATCCAAATTTGGAAGCCTCTGACCCATTTAACTGTGTATGAGACGCCACAGAGTGGAGTTATTAGGACATGGCTGCTTTCCAGCACTCCTCGTCAAGCCCTGCTTTTTCTGCCTTTGACTTGAAGTAATCACCACTGTGACATAACTGGGTTGGTGAAAGCCTTTCTGAAAGAAATCTATCTTCTGCGTTGAGTTTTGACTACTTCAACAGCTTTGATGGCACAAAGCAAGAGGAAATGTGTCGTTTCTCCAACAAATGTCTTGATGCATACGATCTAACAACATGAAGGCCCTTTTTTTTTTTTTTTTTTTTTTTTTTTTTTTGGGAAGACATTTTTTTTCCTCTTGTGCACATGACATGCTTGCATTGCATAAAGATAGTTTTGTCTGTTTCTTAGTTAAAGGCTTGGGAGGAGCAGCAGGCCTGTTGGGAGAGCCAGAAGGCTGACTTGGAGCAAAAAGTGGAGGATGGAGAGGACAAAGCAGACAAACTAGAGAAGTACGGTTGAGCAGCTTCAATGCTCTGTCCCATTTTTGTGATATTTTTCTAGAGCGTGTGGAATAGAAAAGCATTTTACCGGAGCAGGCATGAAGATTAAAGGCTGCAATTGGAGACTGTTGATAAATACAATGAAGATTATGATGTGGGTTGATAAGGTGCTAATGAATCCCACTCTGTTTATCAGGTATTGGCAAGAGGCCCAGACCCTGTGCAGAGTTGTAAGCCAGCGACTGGCTGATGCCCAGAGCCAATCAGAAAGCCTGGAGATCAAATACAATAAGGCCAAGAGACTGGTCAGAGAATACCAGAGCAGGTACTCATGAAATCCTGCTAACTCCCTAAAAGTGTTACTAGTGAGCATGCTGTGCAAGTTAGTCAAACTGCACCAAGGTGTCTTACATGTGACTTAATGTGTTTTTAAGAGAGGAAGAGGGGGAGAAAAGGGAGGCAGATTTGAGGAGAGAAATGGAGGAGAAGGAGAGGCAGCACAGAGAGATGATTGAAAAGCTTCAAATCCAGGTGAGGGGAGGCTTTTCAGTGCTTTGAGGATTTATTTACCTGATCCTGACATTTCTCTGTAGTCATTGTTTCTCATTGTGTATCACAGATTGCACAGCTAGAGGGAAAAGAGCCAGTATCTGAGAGAAAGAGCCACTCAACTGACACTTCAAACACCGGTGAGCATCAGTTTTGGTGACAGTGAAGTGTCTTTGCATGTCTGTTTGACTCGGCAGCTGGCTCTACATATTACTGATGATATTTTATTTTTCTAGCTTCAGAAGCGGAGGAACACTAAGCTTTTTGAGTTGTCTAATGCAACTTCAGTATGGAAAATTATTATGTAATTTAAATAGGCTTTTATGCATTTGTCTCAGGCACAGACTGGTCGATTCCAGTTCCTAATACCAGCCGTTTAGACTCCAGCGCTCACAAAGCCAGGGCTCAGCTAGCCCAGAAATCCAAGCGCCAACCGCCTTCACGAGACAAACTCAGAGAGAGCTTCAGAAAAGGGGTAAGGAACAGTTTTGTTGTCTGTCTTCCTTTTTTTTTTTTTTTTTTTAATATGAAACGGGGGTGAAAGAGATGCAGTTTCTAGCTGTGATCATGTCTTCTCTCACTACAGGAAGAAGGGGCCCTGAAAGCACAAGAGGGACGGTCACTGTCTGCACCCACAGCGATCCGAACCAGTAGAAGCGACGTGTCCAGCACCTCATCGTTCCCAGCCTTCAGTCCTCAAGCTGCAAACAACTCAGTCTTCACCCCTCCAATCTACATCACGGATACCACCCCGTCCTCGCCGAGCAAATCCTCCACCTCTAGAAAATCCAAAAGGAAATTTCCCGACTTCAGGTGGCGGCTCTTTTATTTTGACTCACACTTTCTAAATTTAAAGCCTTAAATTGCTCTTCAGCCTCAGAGTTCTGATGGTTTTGCCAAACATGCTGAATATGGCACTGAGTAAAATTTTGCTGGTTGTATTTTTTTTTTCTTGTATTTACTCTTTAAAGCTTATTTAATATTTCTTTTAGTGGCCTTCGCAAGTCTCTCAGCAAAAGAAGAAGCGAAAAACGCAGCAGGACGTCTGTGAGCAACAGGTGTGGTGACACTAATATGGGTGGGGGGGGAAGAATGTTTTTAAAGATGTGAACCTAACATCTGTTTTGAACACTACTGCTCTTGACAAAGATGAAAAATGTGCATACGTTTTAATATACGTTTACTGCACATTCTGTGTGTGTGTGTGTGTGTGTGTGTGTGTGTGTGTGTGTGTGTGTACACACATATATGTTCTTCCTCTACCCCCCCCATTTTTGCACATGTCGAGGAGCGTGTCAGGCTACATTTCACTGTGTGTTATACTTGTATAACTATGCATGTGACAAATAAAGAACCTTGAATGAGGGCATAACTGCTCTTCTCCAGGGCATCCAGTGATGACCTGTTGGATGAGCCCGCTGAAGTCTCTCCATCAGGCTCTGTCACCTCCATGCCCTCTTGCCTGCCATTTCCTTGGTTTGGCGAGAGAGGAAGAGAAAAGGAAGAGGAAGGGGAGAGTAGGCGGGAGCGACTTCGGTCTGTATCCAGCAGCAGTTTGCCGTACCTGACCACCTCAGGGAGAAGACAGCAGGTAAGAAAATGAACCCACAACCTTCTCAGCGTGGCCCCTTCTTCCTGTCTCAGCTTTCTGACGTAGAGCAATCTCATACAAACACAACCTCATTTCAAATTGGCTTGCATGCTTTTGTACATATGCAGTAGATAATGAACTATCTAGGCACCCCAGTTTCATTTCTGTTGGTTCCAGAGTATTGGCTCTCCAGTGGGCTGTTCCAGTATGGTGGGTCATGTGTCTGATCACTCCCCCTCTGGACACTCTCACACTTTCACCTTTTCTTCCACTGAGGTGAGTCTATCCTTCCCTTTCTTTTCTTCACTCTTTGCTTCCCCCCGGGCGTTCTGTCCAGCTTTCACACACAGGCTCTTTAACCTCCTAGGACCTGGCATCCACATATGCAGACATCACATTTTGGGTTATTTAGACCAAAATACTCAATTTTGCTTTACAAGGGCCTGATATCCACTTACGAGGACATTATACTGCTACTGTTCTATCAAAATTTTAAACTAATATCCTCATATGTGGCTCTTTTCTTAAAAACAAAAATAAGGTTAAAAAAAAAAATCTGGTAATTCTTTGTTTTGACGTTCTTGGGCCCCAATATGCCCAAATATCAAAGAGAAATTAAAAATGCATGCCGTGGAAGAGTTTGGGTCTTAGGAGGTTAATCTCTTTAATCATAGCTTCCTTCTCCTGCTATATTCTTTCATACCCCTCAGACTTTGGACGATGACCCAGTTCCCACGAACAACAACAATCAGTGGCAAAGTCGACCCGTCTTGGAGTGGAATAACCAGCAGGTGTGTCTGTGGTTAATCGCTATGAACATGGATAAATACACATCAGAGTTTGCCGCCAGGAGTGTGGATGGGACACAGCTTCTCAACATGGACAGTGAGAAACTCAAGGTCAGCAGATGAGCTACTGCTGTTGGGGGCAGGAGCCAAATGTTTTGTGTTGTGGTGTAACTATATAGGACGATTTATTGTGGACTACTCTGCTCTTCATGCTGGTTGCAGTGTTTCTTAGTAATCACAACAGAGTAGCCTTGATACAAAGTAGTCCAAGTGATTGAGGTTTTACACTAACAAATTTTAAACTTGCTTCTTGTTAAATGTGAAGTCGGTCCCCCGTGTGAGGTCCAAAACGGCATGTGTACCAAATCCACTAGTACCCCATTTAAACACACACTTTTGTTATCAGGCTTTGGGCGTGTGCAGTCAAAGTGACCGTTCTGCCCTGAAGAAAAAGCTTAAGGAAATGAGGAAGAGAGAGGAGAAGGACCAGAGGAGAGGAGCGAAGAGGCTGAAGGAGGAAAAGGATAAAGAAAACGTGGACAGCGATGGCAAAGAGAAGTCAAGGATGATGAGCGAGGGGAAGCCCCTGAAAGACGAAAGACGCAGTGGAAAAACTGTAAGAACAGAGTCGCTCCTGTGAAGGAAAGACTGAGATGAAATGAGATGTACACCACCAGCATGAGTGTGTGTTTGCGGTCTCTCGCAATCAGAACTGCACTTCTACTGAACTAATAGAAACGTCTAGATCGACTGAACACATCTGTAGACTTTAAGAATGAGACCATTAGTCTTCAAATCAGCACTAAGGTTCAAAGCCACAGCACTTGCCTCCTAGGTATTCCTTTAAGTGTGAATTAACTGTATTGCAGTCTGCTTTTTTTTATTTTAAACTTGAGTCATAATTTATCCTTTTAATATTTAATGAAGTGCTGATTTAAGCACTCAAGTATTTGCTGTACATGTTGGGTTTTTTATGTCTTAATAAATAATGCTTTCAGCATCTTGTTGTTGCTAATGCTCATTCAGTGTAATCACACCCAGGGAACACGGATATTTAAAAAAAAAAAAGTTTATTTGTTTGCTGTCGGGCTATTTTGTTACAATGTAGTAATTTCAAAAGATGAATTGTACAGTGGATATCTACAGCCCAAGTTCTCAAACTGTAGAGAAACTGCAGTATCTGTCAGTCGGAGGCACTTTAAAGGCAGATGTGTGGTAGATTTAAAAAATATGGGAAGCTAATACAGCTTTAGTTTTTAAAAAAGGAAAAAGAAGTCACTTGTTTGCACTGCATGATTCTTTGGTCTGTAGAGCGTGTAACGGAAGATACTCCTTGTGAGAATAAATACGAACTTTTTCCAAAACGTACAAAAAAATTGTCCAATACATTCAGAAACATTTTAACCCCAACACTGAATTTCCACAACACAAGCACCAAAGCTCCGACGGTTGTGGTGCTGGACCATGTCCCACACAGCACATCTCCTTCCAGTGATTCATGAAGACTTATTAAACATCAAATCAGCCCCTGAAGCGTAATGTTTGATCCTGTTTTTTTTTGGTTTTTTTTTTAAACACATTTGATTATTTACAGTCCTCACTGTACAAAGGCAAGGCAGCAGGAAATTTATGAAACTGGAGTTCATCCGTAAGCGACGGTAAATCTGTGGTTTTTCATTGGCTGTTAAGAATAGTGTTCATTGTCATGCCAGGTTGTCATCCAGGGTTTCTTTTCCAGGTTTTCCCAGTTAGCATTTCCAGAATTTATCACCCTCTCCTCCCGTTTGATCCGAACTGCGTTGTAACTGGGAACCTTATCTTCGTATTTGGCACGTTTAAAAAAGCCACACTGCAGAGAAAAGAGGGAAAACAAAACTCAGTATTCGGTTTGAGAACGAGGCCATTTAAAGACGTTCAGAGAAAGCCAAGCGGTTTGAGATGTTTGTCATCGGTCTCTTTCACAGGTGCCAAAATGCAATTAATCCCATAAGAGGCGTAGATGAGCCATCTGCGCTCCTCTATACAGGAAGAAAAGGTGTTCAGTGTCCCCCGTTTTTAAATGTAGAGTGAAAGAAACCTTCAGACCGTGTGAGTGCAGGTGTAACAGCAAGAAAACAAACTGGAGACAGAAAAGGGGATGAAATCAAAGAGATGCAGAAGTTACCCCGAGTCCTCCTTAGAGCTTTAAGAAACAGTCGTTGCTTATCAGCCATCACCTCCCCTGGCCATGCATGTAGTAATACACACTTTGTTTTTGTTTTCTTAAATGGCACGTCACAGTGTGAGAATTGCCCACAGCCTGCCTAGTACCAGAAAGCAGCACTTTTGCAGCAAGGAGGAGCAAGACAAAAAAGGTTTCACTCAGTCATGATAGGCTGGGTAATTTTACCCTCTGTCTCTTTTTTTTATGCATTTGGTGTCAGTCTCTCTTTGTCTGACGGGTCCTCTTTATTCTTTTTCCCAAAGACTCCACACTGAGGAGAGGCAAATTATTAGAAAATATGTGCAATTGCTATAATAAATGGTGACAGTTGTTCTGTACAAGGTGCTTCACAGACTGCTAGACGTTCACAGATTTAAGCCTGAAGGCTTTATCAGTAAAACGTAGGACTACTGGGATAGGGTCTGTTCTCCTCTAGCCCTACCTTCCAAAGAAGGAAAGCCAGCAGGGCCAGCAACAGTAGCCCGAACAGGATGGACAGCACGATGATCCACCACGGCACTCCCCCATACCGAGCCTCACGCCTCTCTGGGAAGGCCGTCAGTCTCACCTAGGGAACACAGCGAAGTGGCAAAACGTGATGTCATAGTGTTCTCTGTATACTGTACAAAAACTCAGGCTTTATGTTTAGAGGGTGCACAGAACTGTGTAAAATCTGCCGCTATGTTCAATTACCTGCGTATTAGCGTTCATCCGAACGGTGTTCTTTACGTTATCAAGGTGCAGAGCAGCGTTGACTAACACCTCCACATGATGTAACTTGGAATAATCCTGTTTGAAGAAAAGGTGAATCAAATCAAAGGAAATACAAAAGTAGAGATTCATGTCAATAAAGATGCTTTAACCCCTGAAACCCATATGTTATTTCTTTATGTCTAAATTTCCACCAGCAGGGGAAAAAAACCTCCCACATTAAGTCAGTAACAGCTGGAAGACTGAACTTTTTGGGGGATGTAATATTGACAGTTAACACTGTAACGCTGTCAGGCAGCTGGTGGTGTGATGGTTTGGGCCCTTTAGTAAAAAACTGCAGTCTTGAGGTCAACAATAACAGTTGTATCAACCCATGTTATCATAATTCAACTGTTATTTTTGAGATTAAATACCGAATATAGATTACACTGTTGCCATTGAAAAACATTTGGGGTTTCCTTTTTTCAAATCCAGAGATAACTGAGTACAACCACTTACCTCGATGAAGGTGCTATTCCAGAGGCGAGAGTGAAGACTGATGGCTGCATTACTGTCCAGGCTCCGCAGAGGGCACCTTATCTTCACACATTTTGCCCCATCGTCACAAGACTGTTGACAAGGGAGTACAAAGTTACTGCCAAATGCCCGTTCAGCTGGCTGAAAGGTGCATAAAATAATGTAATAGTCTAGAACAAACAAAAGGTTGCATTACCAGAGTTTTTGATTTCTTGCTCTCAATTAAGCGTAAAATAGTGCCCTCATCACTCCCCTGTGTTCCTGAGACTTCTCTCCTCTTTCTTGTGTTTTCTTCCTGAAATAAGAAAAGAAATGTATTTAGTTTATTGCCATTAACTCAACATCTTGTCAAAATAAAATACATTTATAAATTCTTTCATGGGAGGATGGCGATGACACATTAACGTGGCGTTTTACCTTTTTAAGAGGATTAATCTCACTTTTAGGTGTGCACTCTATCTGATCCCCTCCCATGGTAGTGATTTTCATCAGGTAAAGCAGCCACTTTCCATCCGCTGTCTCCTTTGGCCAGTCAATGATGAGAGTGGCGGTCCCAAAATCAGTCAAAGGCCTTCCCAAGTTGATTATCTGTAAAAACAGGAAGTAGTACAATTTAAGTTGAAATGTTCTTACTCGCCCCGTTCAGAACACAAAATTGTTGGATTAACGATAAATTCAGGAAAATAAATGAACGATCTAGTTGCTTTTCCTGTACTCACTCTGAAGTGATGTGTGATGGCACTGCCAATGTCACTTTCAGTTTTAATGGCCGTCTCGCCTTTGACATCTCCCGTAAAGTAGACCTGAGATGGCGTGGCTTGTCTGCAGAGAGAAAAAATACACAGTAGCCAGCATGAGTCAGTGCACATCTATGTGTTTCCTGCACATTTATGTATCTGCATGTTTCTTACCCTGACACAGAGAGTTGTAACTCAATGGCCACCTTTGCCTTTGCTTTGACCGGCACTAATTGCTGCATGCTAGTTCTGTTGAAACAATATTTACACAGATATCAAACTACAAATTTTATTCTAACATACATAAACTAAGTTTGTTATATTCCAGTAGTGTAGCTATTGCATTTGCAGGTGCAACCAGTGTTATTTAGCAGTTGGGGCTGCAGGATTACAAGCTCGGATGTACTTACGTTTTCAGTTGAAGATTAACCTCTACTTCAGAGGTGTTGAAAGATATGCCAGCTGTACCCAAAATAATGTAGAAGGTGGTCTATAAACATACAGAGATCCATATTTTATTCCGTGCTCTTATTATTATTTTATTAAGTGTTAATATTTATACATGTGGAGGTGAATTAGATGGTGCCAAACTGTGATTTTTCGCTCACCATTTCTCCCTTTTCAAAGGGATTTCCAAGATCACAATCGACCAGAGAACCATTTCTATTGGCTTGGCAGTTTACCTGAAATCAATAATAAGTCCAAATCAGAACTAAAGTGGGTGTCTGTGTATGTGAGAGAGAGAGAGAGAGTATCAGACACACTTACTTTATTAAGCAAGCGGGTTGCAGAGTAGGTTAAGGAGCTAGGAAAAGAAGCGATCATGGAGGCTTCGTACGCATCATCCCCACCTGCATTGCTCACGCTGACCTCTAAGGCGATTTCCTTCTGGTTACTGAGTGAGAGCACCGGCACACCATTCTCCCTTCAAACACACACAAATCGTGAGCCCGTTTGATGAAGTGTGCACATCTTTCACAGCTCGGTGCAGGGAAACAGTGTGCGAACGCATCTCAGGATGAGCATTTTAAATTAAATTTAAAAAAAGAAGAAAACGAGAGAAAGAAAAGTGTTTTTATAATCTTACTTTGGTAACGGAATGAATTTTTCATCGTTCCAGTGGCCATAGTTATATTCCATCTTCAGATTGCTCTGACACACATTGTCAGACCCACAACCGGTCTTCATGAACTCCACCTGCAAACAACATTTTCACATTTAAGAAATAACACAGAATAGGAGGAGACATCACATAAACTGAATAAGATGGGCACACACACCACTGATCGAGTTGGCTGTGACGCTTTAGCATCCAGGACCGGCTGCAGCCCAGGACCTGAGCTCTGTCTGCGTTTACGTCTGCCACCAATGATTTCCACAGACACATCAATGGGGATCCCGCGTAGCTTGTCTCGAATATTTTCCTGAAGCACGACAACATAAACAAAGCATTACGCGCCACCGGCAGTTAACTTGGATCGCGAGAGAATGCAGAAACCTTCGATACCTGCAAGGCGAGTTGTCGTTCAATGCACTGTTCCACTCCTTTCCTGTCCAAAGTGATGGTCCCTGAGGATTCATGGCTACTGCCAGGGGAGGAGTTAATGAAGGCCGCCCTAGTTTTAAGATTATTCTTCCTGTTTTCAGTGTCTGCCGCAAGGGTGTATTTGACCTCTGGATGCAACAGAGAAAGAAATACATTGTAAGTGAAAGTGAAGTATTGCTATGATAATAAGGGGAGAAAATGCAATAATGAAGATTGTTGCAAACTAAGGAGAAAAAAAATTGTGCCTCAACCTACCCAGTTTTGGAGCATAACTCACAGGATTGGCAGAGTAGGAGAAGCACGCTTTAATAGTCAAGCTGGGGACACAATCCAATTTATGTACAGTCAGACAGAGCACAGTTTTACAGCTCAGTGTTGAAGAAGTTTAGAAATTCAATAACAGATTGGGTACACGCACCAGAACTTGTTATTGTTTTCACAGTTGTTTTTGAGGAGGTCAATTTCCTTTGGTGTGATTGTGATTTTCTTCTGGATGTCAATAACCGGACGGGCTCTATGAAGAGACGACTCGGTGAGCTTTTAAGTAAACAGGACGAGAGATAACACAATGTGATCCATGCGCCAGCTCACGCACTTGTAGACGAAGACAGAGTCTGAGAGGGATCCGACAGCCAGGTCAGGGTAGGAGTTGTAATCCAAGTCCATGTTTCCCGCCAAAGAGTAGCCAAACAGTTTCACTCCTGAAGGACCAGGCAGCACCTGACGGAGGAGGAACACATACCGTCATCAAAGCCACGTATTGTACAGCATACATCCAGATACTAAAAGCACGCTATCTTTTAAAAAAATATTATTCTAATTAAGATGCTAAATTATAGTTATTTACTTCAATTCCAGAACAGAAAATCATGTTTTATTGGTTGAATGTTATGCTTCATGACTTCTCCAAGAAGTCCAGAGTGCCGGCTCAAATCTGTGTATAAAAATGTGAATTCGGGGCAGCGAATTCATAATGCCAAGCCAAAGCACGTGTCATTTTATGGCGCCTATTCAAAATAACATGACTATTCCCCTTTGTTGAGCACTTGGCAGCTTGGCAGCACTTTTCTGCCACAACTAACAGGCATAACAGGAGAGTAGAAAGATAGAAATCAGGTGTTTATTGTGTACCTGTGAGGCTTTTGGAGAGATTTGTCCTGTAGCTGATCCATAGTAGATGTAAACCTTCCCTTTGCCCTTATCATCATAAGGAGCTCCCACTGCAAAATCTGGCATGGAGAACAACAACAGGATGGTTATGTATTTCTGCTGATGTCAAGACTGACTAGCAGACCACAGTATACGTGTATATGCAGAACTATTGCATGCTCACCATCATAACGATCCAGATTGATGTCTCCCAGGTTTTCTACAGCCAGGCCAAACATTGAGTCCAAGGGTCCATCTATTCTGGTGGGTGTTACTTTGTTCCACTTTCCAGCGTTGTTGATGTAGACGTAGACAGCTCCTCCAATATCTCCATCCTTCTCAAAGTACTGTGGTGCCCCCACCACAATGTCCTCCCAGCTAATAAAGAAAACAGCATTGCACATTCATTAGAATAAAGCCACAGTAGCAACAGCAACGGTGCAGAAGTTGCAGGTTGCTGTTTGTATCATCCGGCATCACTCACCCATCCTTGTTGAGGTCCAGCACCGTAAGATCGTAGCCAAAAGATGAAGCCAACCCCTCGCCTTCTAGTGAGAACTCTTTAACTAATATGTTGCTTGTTTGGCTATCTGTCTTTAGCAGTACCACCGCTCCACTGTGGTTTGCTCTGGGAGCTCCAGCCACCACTGTTAGCTGGCCTTTCTTAGTCAAATGTTTACCTGAGTCCAGGGAGAAGCCTGACACAAAGAGACAAAGAAGCGATTCCTTAAATAATCAAAGAACCATGAAGTGCTAGAAAATATGTCTCTGTATAAAGCGAATTACTGGAATCACAGTCAGGTTATAGTTTTTACCCAGGTAGCTACTGGCAGGAACAGGGACCAGGTCAGGGTTCTTTTGGTTCTCGTCTCCTGCCTCATATGGACCATCATCAAAGATGCCCCTTTCTATGAAAGAGTCATTTTTCTGCTCCACGCGTACTATACCTTCAAGATGAAAGCAGAGGGGAGGCTTGTAAGTATTGACTGAAATAATCCTCACAAGCACATTCCTCTATTCTGATAGCTGGGAAAAAAAATTCATACAAAGTAGATTTATTACATTTCACAGTAAACATATGCATGCACACTACCTTTCCAGTTGTAAGCTCCAGGAGCCCCAAAGATGATGTAGTGGTAGTCCTTGTCGAATGTAGCAGAGAGGCCCTGCTGGCAGGAACCAAACATCTCGTGGCCTCTGGGCCTCTGGTCACAAAAATACCATCCACCTCCTTCTCCATTCTCATTTGAGTTCGTTTTTAATGACTGACTCAGCACGTAGCAGCGGCCAATTATGTCACGAGATTCCAACAACTCTGAGCCCACATTGGCCCGGCGCTGGTAGCGATGAGCACAGGTCTGCCAGGGGAAGCAGACACAGTTAAGTGCAGTGAATGAGACTAAGGTGTGCTTTGTTGGAGAGACGACGGTTATTTTTTTGACAATATCAATTTGTCGTTACATTAATAACCATCTGTTTGAACAACTAAACAGTAATAATTGTGTGGATGCCATAGGCATCCACACTATTGAGTTCCTGTTTCTCTTTATTGTGTGGATGCCTTAATAGGCATCCACACTATTGAGTTCCTGTTTCTCTTTATTCTTTATTATTCCGGGTGTTTCCGTACACTTTTTGCCGTGGATCTACTTCCACAATTTTTGTGCTATTTTCACCGTTCAAACTCTAAACTGTTCTGCTCTTTCTGCTAATGCCGGCTATGACTTTTGGTGTTTCTTACTATTATACTTTTTAAAATATTACACTTTTTTCCTTTAATTTGTCCCATTGAAATGAATGGGAAACTTCCACAATTCTGCTAAAACTTTCTTGTCTTTGAAACTTAACTACTGCCTCATACTTTCACCTAGAAACTCCATTCAAACTTTAAAATGTTCTCAAATGATTTGGCTATTCCTGTATGATTCAGCTTTTTCAGATCTTCTACCGTTTTAATCTTATCCCTCTTTGAGTTTTCAGTTGCAAAATTGTGATTTTTCAGAAAATACATGCGTTGCTATGGTTGCTATGCAATTAACTCAGAGGGGACAGTGAAACTGTTTGAATTTTCTCTTCATGTCCAAACAACTTCTTGCTACTCGCTCAATTTCCACTCAAGCCCCACAAATTATACATCAAAACGTAGGTATTTTTGCTGGCTTTCAGAAAATGTCACTATCATTGTTGTGGGACTCATAGATATTTTGCAAATCTCCTCAGAGTAACACAAAGTCAGAAAACTCTCCATTTAAACTCAATGGAGAGTTTGTTCAAAATCACCGCTGGATTTCTCTAATGAGAGGCATTTTCAAATTGTCATATCTCCTTAACGAAGCGAAGTTAAGACATGAGGCTTGTCCCCGTATATGTTCAGACACTCCTGACGCTCACAATTCAAGAATTTCTTTCTCACCTATTACCGTTCTGAAATGAGTTGGACTTGTTTGAGGGTAGGAAATTTGTCCCTCGCTCAGATTTCATCAGATTTCAATCTCTGGAAATGAACCACTTTTTTCTCTCGTCATATCTTTTTGATGGATTTCCACAGAGCCCTGAAAATTTCCATGACTGTTCACCAAAGCCTGCTGTTTCTTACGGTGAAAGAATGATTTTGATGCTCCATATAGATTTAGAGTTACCAAAGGTTGTTTGAGCGCAAGTCAATGCAGTTTTTGCTTCGCCTCTACTCAGTTACAGTGTATTACAAGTCATATATCTTTAATAATTTATGTTTTATCTCTGAATTATGAAGACCTGAAGATTCCCCCATCTCTTCTGAATAAAACGATGCCTGAATGACCGTTCTAGCCTCTACGGTTAGGAAATTATGGCCATTTGTTCGAGGGGAATCCTGAATGTCAGAAATACACTGAAGAAAACTCACACCTCTCTCTGTGCCTGCGTGTGTAAGGGCTGACTACAGCAGGTGCAGCTAATTTAACTGACCTACATATACCAAGCCCAGACTCTCCACAGCTCCTGTTCCCTTTACTGTCTGTGTATGTGTGTCTGTGTATCAATATTTCTCCTATGTTTAGGTATTACTCCTCAATCATAGTATTTCTGCTAAAGCAAAGTACTTCTACTACATCTTAGTACTTCTGCTAAATAATAGTATTTCTGCCAATTCATAGTATTTTTGCAAAATCGTGGTATTTGTGCAAAATCATGGTTTTGGGGCCAAATATTTCTGTTATTTTATAATATATGTGCCAAATCATAGTATTTATCCCAAATTATAGTATTTATGCCAAATTACAGTATTTCTGCTAAAACGCAGAAATAGTACCTTTTAGCAGGAATTTCTACCAAAAGATAGTACTTCTGCTAAATCAGAGTATTTCTGCTAAACCAGAGTATTCCTGCCAAATCATAGTATTTGTACTGAAACATGGTACTTCTGCCCAATCATAGTATTTGTACTAAATCATAGTACTTGTGCCAAATCATAGTATTTATACCCAATCATAGTATTTCTGCTAAATCATAGCATTTGTGCCAAATCATGGTATTTGTGCAAAAACATAGTATGTCTGCAAAACCATAGTATATCTCTTATGTTATAGTATTACTACTAAGGCATAGTATTTCTGCCAAATCATAGTATGTGTGCCAAATCGCAGTATTTATACCAAATCACAGTATTTGTGGTAAAACATAGTATTTCTGCCATATTGTGGTATTTGTGCAAGAACATTGAACTGTTATGTTATAGTATTACTACTAAGTCATAGTATTTCTGCATTGTTATAGTATTTGTACTAAAACGTAGTATCTCTGCCAAGTCATAGAATTACTGCAATTTCGTAGTTTTTTTTAGGAAATCTGTTATGTTATAGTATTACTACTAAGTCATAGTATTTCTGCCAAATCATAGTATTTGTGCCAAAGCATCGTATTTGTATGGAGTCATAGTATTTCTTCTAAATCATAGTATTTCAATCAAGTCTCAGTAGTTGTTGTTAAAACGCAGTATTATTGCCAAATCATAGTATTTGTACCCAATCATAGTATTTCTGCTAAATCATAGCATTTGTGCCAAATCATGGTATTTGTGCAAAAACATAGTATGTCTGCAAAACCATAGTATATCTCTTATGTTATAGTATTACTACTAAGGCATAGTATTTCTGCCAAATCATAGTATTTGTACTAAATCATAGTACTTGTGCCAAATCATAGTATTTGTTGAACATCATAGTATTGGAACCAAAACATAGTATTTGTCCCAAAGCATCGTATTTGTATTGAGTAATAGTATTTCTTCTAAATCATAGTATTTCAATCAAATCTCAGTAGTTGTGTTAAAATGCAGTATTATTGCCAAATCATAGTATTTGTACCCAATCATAGTATTTTTGCCAAATCGTGGTATTTGTGCCCAATTAAAAATTCTGTTATGTTATAGTATTACTACTAAGTCGTAGAATATCTGTTATGTTATAGTGTATCTGCGGAATATAGTATGTGTGCCAAATCGTAGTATTTACACCAAATCACAGTATTTTTGCTAAAACATAGTATTTCTGCCATATTGTGGTATTTGTGCAAGAACATTGAACTGTTATGTTATAGTATTACTACTAAGTCATAGTATTTCTGCGTTGTTATAGTATTTGTGCTAAAACGTAGTATCTCTGCCAAGTCATAGAATTAATGCAATTTCATAGTTTTTTTTAGGAAATCTGTTATGTTATAGTATTACTACTAAGTCATAGTATTTCTGCCAAATCATAGTATTTGTACTAAATCATAGTACTTGTGCCAAATCATAGTATTTGTTGCACATCATAGTATTAGAACCAAAACATAGTATTTGTCCCAAAGTATCGTATTTGTATGGAGTAATAGTATTTCTTCTAAATCATAGTATTTCAATTAAATCTCAGTAGTTGTGTTAAAATGCAGCATTATTGCCAAATCATAGTATTTGTACCCAATCATAGTATTTTTGCCAAATCGTGGTATTTGTGCCCAAATAATAATTCTGTTATGTTATAGTATTACTACTAAGTTGTAGAATATCTGTTATGTTATAGTGTATCTGCGGAATATAGTATGTGTGCCAAATCATAGTATTTATACCAAATCACAGTATTTGTGCTAAAACATAGTATTTCTGCCATATTGTGGTATTTGTGCAAGAACATTGAACTGTTATGTTATAGTATTACTACTAAGTCATAGTATTTCTGCGTTGTTATAGTATTTGTGCTAAAACGTAGTATCTCTGCCAAGTCATAGAATTACTGCAATTTAATAGTTTTTTTTAGGAAATCTGTTATGTTATAGTATTACTACTCAGTCATAGTATTTCTGCCAAATCATAGTATTTGTGTGAATTTGTATACTGTAATATCACTGTATTATGTAGTGGCTAAGTAGGGGCTGTTTACTAAGTGCATCAGTGTAAATAGGTCATCTCTTGTGTTGGAGTGCCCTCTTGTGGCGCCTTTTGGGTAGTGCCTTAGTAAACGGGAACCCTGTAAAAAGTGGCATCAGACTGATTTGTAGTGGAGGAATTTGTTACCAGTTTTCTTAATCTTTAATCTGTATGCATGTTGTAATGCATACCCTGTTCTTAATCATAGAAACCACACCATATCACCTCTCCACATCCTCCTACTGTATGCCATACCTCCCTGTACCATCCATCTGACCGCAATAAACTCCACCTGTGGTAATCTAATCCCTGGATGTCAGCCTCTCCTTCTGACCGAGGATAGTTATAGTATTTGAGCCAAATCATAGTATTTGTGCTAAAACATAGTATTTCTTCCAAATCATAGTATTTGTGCCAAAGTATAGTATTTCTTCCAAATCATAGTATAACTGCACAATAAAGGTTCTTGAGCCACATCAGTGTTTGTGCCAAATCTTAGTATTTCTTCTAAATCCTAGTAATTCTGCTCAATGATAGAATTTCTGCTATGCTTTAGTACTTTTTTCCTAGATTGTAGTACTTCTGCTAAGTCAAAGTATTTCATGTAAATCATAGTATTTCTACCAAGTCCCAATGTTTCTGCTAAATCATAAATAATGTTTTAGTACAAATTGTATGATTTGGTGGAACTTTCTGTGTTCCAGCACAAATGCTATGATTTGGCAGGAAAAAAATATTATTTAGCATAAATACTAAGTTTTAGCAGAAATGCTATGTTTAAACTTTAAAAAATTCTGCTATTTCTGCTGATGTGTGTTATGACTTTTGACCATTGAAATGAATGGAACACATTATCAATGTGGTCACTGATTTTGTATGATGGGCTGAGCTGTGTTTTACCTCAGTGAGATAAGCATCTGTTCTCAGACTGGGAGGCCTGGGTTCAAATCCAGCTTATGGCAACATTTCTTTCACTTAACAGTTAAACTTTTTTTAAACTCTTTTCAACACAAATTTCTTTTTTTTCACCCCCTTTCAGCAAAATTTTCAGTTTTTTTAACCCCTTTTCAGCACAAATCCAAACTTTTTCAGCTCTTTTTCAGCAAAAACCTCTTTTCAGCAGAATTCTGCTCAGTCACCTCTTTTCAGCAGAAATTCTGCTGATTGAACTCTTTTCAGCAGAATTTTCACCCCCTTTTTTTTTGCCCAAATTCTGCTAGCACAATTGTCAATCTCTCCACCTTTTCTTTGTGAGAAAGTGTTTGGCTCAGTGAGCTAAATAGCTGCCCTTTGACCAGGAGGGCCAGGTTCGAATCCTGCTCAGGGCATCTTTTTTTTGTTTTTTTTTTTTTCAACTTTTTCAGCTTTTTTTCAGCAGACATCTTCAGCCCTTAAGGCATCCACACAGCATTTTCGCAGGAAATGCAAATTTTTCTAATTCTTTATTATTCTAGTTGCTTCCGTACGTTTTTTGGACGTTAACTACTCCCTCAGTTTTCTGCCGATTTTCTCCGTTCAACCTTTAAAAAATTCTGCTATTTCTGCTAATGGGTGCTATATCTTTTGGTGCTCATAACTTCTATACTTTTTGAGATATTGAATTTTTTTTGCAATATTTTTTGCCTATTTCTGCCATATTATCAGTGGCCTCACTGATTTTCCTTGCCGGCTTGACCTGTGTTTTAGCTCAGTGAGATGAGCGTCCGTTCACAGACTGGGAGGCCCGGGTTCAAATCCCGCTTATGGCAACATTTCTTTCAGTCAACAGTTAAACTTTTTCACCTCTTTTCAGCAGAATTTTAAGTTTTTTCACCACTTTTCAGCAAAAATACCAGCTTTTTCAGCTGTTTTCAGCAAACACCTCTTTTCAGCAGAATTCTACTCATTGAACTCTTTTCAGCAAAATTTTAAGTTTTTTCTGCTGTTTTCAGAAAAAACCTCTTTTCAGCAGAAATTCTGCTCATTCAACTCTTTTCAGCAGAAATTCTGCTTATTCACCTCTTCTGTAAAATTTTCATCCTTTCCACCTCTTATCAGCACAATTCTGAGCAGCTTCTGCTCATTTCAGCACAATTGTCAATCTCTCCACCTCTTCTTTGTGAGAAAGAGGTTGGCTCAGTGAGCTAAATAGCTACCTGAGGGCCAGGTTCGAATCCTGCTCAGGGCAATGTTTTGTTTTTGTTTTTTTTCTCAACTTTTTCAGCTTTTTTCACCATACATCTTCAGCGTAAGGCATCCACACAGCATTTTCGCAGGAAATGCAAATTTTTCTAGTTAAATTTGTGTTCAGATACAAAAAAAAAACCTTACCACAACCTGGCCTCCTGGTCCCTGACTTTTGACTGTCACTCCCATCCACTGATTTTCTTTGTCCTCTGTGGCCTTATTCTCTACGCAGGGATAAAAACAGGCACAGAGAAGACATTGCAACTCGACTTAATGTTTAAAATGACCAAATTCATATTAAGTAAAAATGCTCAAATGTCAGCTAATGTCTCACCGTCATTATCAAAGATAACCCTGCTGCAGTCACTGGTTGTGGAGCTCATGTCACAATTGTAGAGCCCTCCTGTCACGGCAGATTTTTGACGGCTCAAAGCTTTTGCTCTCGGGGCACCAACCAGCAGCCTGCAACAGATGCATGTATGAATCGGGCCCATACGCACTACAATCAAACACTCATTGTTACTCTGTTCTGACATACATTTATTAGCATGAGGTACAATCTGGCATTTCTTTCACTTGCACAGAAAATGATCACACATTCCACTGATACTCACACATACACACAGACTCACAAACACATATGCACATCCGCCACAAAACTGATGTTCCATGTCCTCACAGTGAACAGTCAAACTGAGTCAAAGAATCCTTTCAGGTCGCCTGCTGAGGATGATTGCACACACACACATATACACAGACTCTGCCTTTGTGGTCCAAAAAAAGGGCAAATGCCACACCCAGCCATCGATGATGGGCCTCCAGATATCAGGGTTTCCTACAAAGTGAATCAAGTCAACAATGTCATCCGTTGAAATTAAACTCTACACGGGTTTTCAAGGGAGAGAGTAAAGCACTGCCAGTACAATGATCCGTCTTTATCCAGCTTGCTTGGTCTGATCGCTGACCTTCAGAGTTAAGGTCGTCCGGCAAACTGTCATCCACAGATAAAATAAAGAAAAGCCATTTTAGCTGAAATACAAAGCATCCTCAGATACAAACACCATCCTGAAACATATAGCAGAGTAAAAAGCTGAGGCTTTATGAAACCATCATATCAGCTGTACAGACACCGAAAATGGTAGATATCAAACTAAACAGCCAGCCTACTGAGGCAGTATAAATCATGATGAATACTAACTCCAGCAAGGGTGATGGGTAATCACAACTATTTATGGCATACAAAAAATGGCAGATAGATGTCCAAATAGTCACGTACATTTGGAGTAAATTTCTCTTCCGTAGGCTCCTTTTGCACGACGGACAAGTACACTTTGTTTATCCTGTTTCAACCACTGGATTGGTTTGGCCTTGTTTCAGAAACCAGAACACTATAATTTTTGCTGTTATCCACCCATTAAGTGTCCCATCCAGCCTTTTTTAAATTATAAGGGGACGTGAATGACACTTGACGGTTCATACCACAAAGTCTGGAGTCAACTCTCCAGCTCCAAGCTCAGTATGCAAAAAACAGAAAACATGTTATCACACTAAAATTCTTGCAATGAGCTCAATTTTAGTGAGTCATCACCTCAAAAAGAGAACCGGTAGGCTAACAGTGAATTCCAGTGGATGCATATCCGCTCCCAGTATCCTCTGGGACACAAGAAGTAATAACAATGAATAGGAGATTTTAAAAAAAATCTCTCTCTCTCTCTCTCTCTCTCTCTCTCTATATATATATATATATATATATATATATATATATATATATATATATATATATATATATATACTCAATCAGCTGATTGTCTTTGGAGTAAATCCAACTAACAATAATGGGTTTGTTGGGAGCTGAAAGTGACGTTAGTCTACTGCGCAATTTCTAAAACACAAAAACATTTAGCAAAGAATAGGAATTATTTTTATTGCTGCACATTAAAACCTTTTTGTCACATGACACGATGTGTCAGGAAGTGTGATACAGCTGATGTGCGGCTTCGCTGACAGTGACCCGGCTGTTAATCTAATCATTTACCACCAGCGGCGGAAGGCCCGACGTACGACGTAGACCACAGGAAGAACTAAGACAACTAAAAAGAGAGAGTGTGTGTGTGTTTGGGTCCAGCTGTGCATTGACGGTCGCACGCATAGAGGCAGCAGTTAAACACACAGATCAGCTCGTCCTGTGTATCGCAACAGATAGTTTAGAAAAGCCACTGGAGAGACGTCCCATCGGGAGAGGTGTGTCTTTTCCTTTTCTTTTTCTTTTTACAGCAGTGAACTGGCTGCCGGCTTAAGACACAACCCGTTGCCTAGTAACAGTCAGTGGCGCCCTATCAACTACAGGCATTTACTTCCAAATGGCCTTCAGATACAGAGGTTCATGACATGTTGCCCAACTTCTCTCTCCATCTTTCTGCCAGCATCGAGTTCACTGAATCTTACTGGCTGAAAAATGCTTGTATTTGGTGCCCAGATGTACACCTGATTTGTGTTCCTCTCAGCGTTTTTCAGCCATTACCTCTTTCTTTTCTTCAGCTTCCCCTCCTTTCTCTTTGATGTTGGATAACCAAAACTATCCTCAGGGGAATCTGGCTCTCATATGTGTTCTTTACGCAATACACAGCCCACATACACTAATACACTGAGTTGATTTGGTATTAAAAAGACACTGACAGCAAGATACTGTCAATATCACTGAAACTACTGAAACTCACAGCCTGTTTCTAAATTCTTTACTCTTCTTGTTCCATGTTTCCATCTCTCCAGAGTCATATTATTTCACAAATCCCACAGAAATACACACACATATGCATTTACTTTCTCCCACACATTTCTCACACTCGATCCGACCTCTTAAAATACCCTAAACTCTCACTTGGTCTCCTCCTTCTCCCTCGTCTCTCCACTTATGTATTTTGTGCTTTCCCTCTTGACTTTATTATATAGACAGCTCCATCTGGCAATTATGAAGAAGCATGGAATGCTACACACATACACACATACAGATGTGTGCGCACATGCATATTCAGGTCCTGCCCTCTCCTGCAGGAACTTGCAACACTGATACCTGTAGGGCACAAACACTGTGAAATAAGTCTGAATACAAGTTGGCATGCATGGCCTGCAAAGAACTGTGACTAATAGTGCACACCCAGAGGAGACAAACATGGAGGTACACAGGTACAGAGACACTAAAAACACATTAGCACACAGTTTTCTGGAATGGATGTTATTGAACTAATCAATCAATCAATCAATCAATCAATCAATCAATCAATCAATCAATCTATCTATCTATCTATCTATGTATCTATCTATCTATCTATCTATCTATCTATCTATCCCTATTTTGCCCCAGGTCAGGAATGTATAAAGCAAGCAGCACACTGAGCTCTCTGACAGTTTTCCAAATGACTGACAACAAGGCAACGCCTCACTGCTCAGCCACAGCATGCATCAGCACCATTAAAACCCACCAAACAGGCACTCACATGTGCACACACATCCACTGTCGGGACACGAATGCAAGTGCAGACACACAGATACAGCATCCACAGTGAGCGCACACTTCTCTAACAGTTACTTGCAAAAAACAGACATGGCTTTATACTCCAACACACACACACATATCACAACACGTGCACCTGATAGTTAGAAGTCAGCATATTTTAATTTATGGTTTTGCTTCAAAGGTTTTCTTTTCCCTCTCACAGAGCAGTCGAAAAATAGTTACAACTACCTAAGCATCCAACACTGGAGCATCTGACGCCTCCACTAAAAGTTCATTCTACGTTATTCCTACATACAAGTATTTTTTCCCCTTTTTTAACAGACTTTTCTGTTTTCTTGTATTTAACCTGAAGCTGACTTTGTGATAGCTTATAGCTTCAGTCTCGTGCAGATCACCATGTGTCTTTCATTTAGCCTGGAGCTAAGACAGAAACTGGCACTGTGTGTGTGTGTGTGCGTGTGTGTGTGTGTGTGTGTGTGTGTGTGTGTGTGTGTGTGTGTGTGTGTGTGTGTGTGTGTGTGTGTGTGTGTGTGTGTGTGTGTGTGTGTGTGTGTGTGAAGGTGCAGCAGTAGCAGGAGTGTGTAAAGTTTAAACTGTGTATTTAACAGCTGTGGAGAAGGTATAAAACTAGGGGTTTTAATCACTGCTGGGCGTACAGTGGTGTTGTGAGGTTGGGGTTAATAATTAAGCAAATACAAGTTAACTCAACTTAAACCATAATTTTACTTTATCTATGCAAAACATAGGAATGCCTGAATATTGATTTTTTTGTGTGGAAAAAGCCAGTTAATAGATGCACTTTACACATATTATTCCCATGATTACATCTTAGTCTCTACTGGAGGCACTTATGCTGTCTGCACCGCTCGTAATGTACAGTTAAAAGTTAAAATGTGACAACTTTCACTCGGATACTCTAGATTACATAATACAACCTGAACAACATATCGCATGACTGAAATGGTCAAACCATATAGTGTTGCATATAGTGAAGCATGTAAGTACATGTAAGTAGCTACAGAAGAGACACAAATTCTAACAGAGACGCTTTTTTCCGACAGGGCAGATTTCCATGTGTAACCTGGTTGTCTGTTTAGCTAGGAAGTACATTAATGCTGGTAATGTGTAACATCTTCATTCGTACTAGAATCAAGGCAGATATAAAAGTGAAGTAATCAATTAATCCATCTGGGTCAGATGTGATTGTGAAATGTCTTTGTAAATAAAATGTAAATTAAATATCAATGAATTACTAAGAATTGCTGAGACTACCGTGCAGTTTAAAATAAAGCAGGACATGAACCTTCAGTCTGCTGAAAAGTCTTAAGTTATCTGCTCTGAGGTCAGTTTATAATCAGGCTGTTCCAATCAGTGACCACTTGATGGCACTTGTTCTTTATGCAGGGTGACAGTCCCCTCTGAAATAGTGCCCAAGAAAATACCAACAGTGATTCACTGAGATGTTTTGCCCCCCCCAAAAAAGTCAAGGCTGGGTCCCGGTTGAAGTCAACAAGAAAGGAGGAATGTGAACGCGCGCCGCGTGCAAGCGCACAAAATACCAACAGTGATTCACTGAGATGTTTTGCCCCCCCCAAAAAAGTCAAGGCTGGGTCCCGGTTGAAGTCAACAAGAAAGGAGGAATGTGAACGCGCGCCGCGTGCAAGCGCACAAAGAGTTGCCTTCTAGCTCCAATGAAAACTCACAAATAAGTAACCTGAAAGAAGGAAATATTAACAAGAAAGACGGGCATCGAGTTAAACTTATAAGAGCTCGTGTGGCCTAAAGAAGAAGGAGAAGAAGCTGTTGGTGGAAATGTGTCGTACCTGACAAACCTGACCTGACCTGATCACGTACAGGCCTACTTGCGGTGCTGCTGAGGTAACTCACTTGCGGTCTGCGGCTCCCAAAAGTAGTTTTAGGCGGATTTTTTTTTCTTCCAGCCGTCTAAAGTGTGTATTGTGCAGTAATAATTTAATTATATGTATATGTATAATTATATGTATACTGGAGTTCATTTTAAACACACTGAGGTGTCTTTCAAGGGAAAAAACAATTCCATTAACAGCCTCCGGACATTTTATCCTTTAAAAGCAAAACTCTGACACTTACATTCTCTTTTCCTGCGGAAGGAGCTGCCGGTGCATGGCGAGAGAGAAGCCGAACAGGCTCCCGGGGTCTCCGGTCTTCCGCTGGACATTGTCGGTGTCCAAGTTGAAAGCCGAGAGCAGCCCACAGCTAGAGAGAAAGGCGATTAGCCAAAGTCCACAGGTGATCCAGCCCTCCATGAAAACGCGAAGCTTCCTTGAACTACTGAAAAGGGACTCCTTAGTGCAGGAGGTGCAGAGTGCGACTGAGGGCTGCTGCTGGAGGACTGACTGCTGTCCACTTGTTAGCCGCTCCTCCTACCTCTCATGCACCCACACATCCCACCCCATCCTACCACACCTCAGATTGCTTCACATGCAGTTTACATGCCAAAATGTAACTCTGATGGAAACATTAGTCTGTTGTTAGTTTCCAGTAGATCAATGCTGTAATCTAACTGGGTCACTAATGCCTGAGTCTGCCTAAAAACGCATTTATGGCAAGAAAAAATGGCTGTATAACACTATTATAAGGCCTGCTGGTGAGCTCCCCTGGAAACGACCAAAAACAAAATACATCATAAAATCCCACAAGTGGGAAAAGATCGTCAAGATATCCGGTGACATAAGAGCAAATTGTGCCTGAGCCTACCGACTTCAAGCATCCATTTAATTAAGAAAGAGTCAGCAGCTTTGGGAGAGAGGAAGAGTGAAACATGCTGCTATAAGTAGATACTGATTCCCCCTCTTGGCACTGGTTGCACAGTCTAGACAATGGCAACACAATGACAAGGGAGTGGGAGACAGATGAGAAGAGAGAACAGCATGTGAGAAACATACAGTGTTGGAGCGCAGGAAGAGAAGAAAGAGAAATATGCAGGCCTCTACTACAACAACAATCCACAATTTAAATTTACAATCTTTCTGGCACTGTTGATCAGATGGTATCACCCTGGGGCCTGTGTCCTCTGTAATGAATCATTAGATGAGTCAAAAGGAGCCAGAGACTGCAGCGGGCACAGACCCACACATTAGTAGACTCTGTCACCAGATGATTTTCAAGGCATTCCATGAGACGGTGACCCAAAGCTTGTCCTCGCAACGCAGCATATCCGCAGACAACGACGGCTTTGTCTGCTGAAAGAGGGCAGACGGGGAGGGAGAGGGAGAAAGAAACTGCCCAAATACTGTACTATAAAAGGCACAAATAATGGAGGAATGGAGTGCAGAAAGGAGAAAGGGCAGAAGAAGAATGTGATTCCTGTACAGTTACATTGTTTATTTAAGTCTTTGTTAATGGGAAAAATTGATTGATGATCGGATCGTTCAACATTATAAAGCCTAATTTTGGGGGGGTTTAGTAAACATAAGGTGCACTTTTTTGATGTTCCAATGTTAGAGGAGACTACGGTAATTCAATCAACGTTTAAAAACATTCTTTTTCTCTCAGTCAGTCACATGTTTGGCAGCTGATAATATTATCACGTCAAAATCTCATTCTTAATCTAGTGGAATCTTTAAATCATGTGGCCAACCGCCTTCCAACTTTATATATGTGTCTTTGTCTTGGTACAGTAGAGCTTTTAAGGTGAGCATGCCGACTGGGCAACCGTCAGCAATTTATGACTGCAGATGGTCGGATACAACAGTCAGCCTTATCACTGATAAGGGCGGGAGTGTGTGGAGCCAAACAGCGTCAGTTAGCTTAGTTCACCCTTGCCTTGAACCTTCAGGTTTAAAGTGTGTTTGTGTTTATATGTGGCAGTTCTCATTACTTCTCGTGTTTTTATGTTTTCATTCCACTTCTGTTCTCCTTCGGTCTTACTTTGCAATTGCTGAAAATTCATAAAGACTTTATTATAATTTTTCTTTACTTCACATATTTCACTACATGCTGTTTCTTTTTCTCCTTTACTGTCCTACAGTCACTGGTCTCTCCACTGGGTACACCCGTTCAGCTCTTTAATACAATTATCTAATCAGCCAATCACAGTAACTAATGCAACTCCTGCTGCAGTTCAAACCAAGAGTCAGAATGTAGAAGAAAGGTGATTTAAGCGACTTTGAATGTGTCTTGATTGTCGGAGTCAGACAAGCTAGTCTGTGTAATTCAGATCTACTTTCCTGCACAACAATCTGTAGAGTTTACAGAGAATGGTACAAAAAAAAGGAGTCCAGTGAGCAGCAGTTCTCTGGGTGAAAACCTTTGTTGATACCAGAGGTCAGAGTAAAATGCCCTGAGTGCTTTTAACCTATAGAAAGACATAACCAAGGTGGAGCAGGAGATTCTCACCATGGATGTGCAGCTGACAATCTGCAGCCACTGTGTGATGCTATCGTGTCAGTATGGACAAAGTCTCTGGGGATTGTATCCAGCATCCTGTTGAATCTGTGCCATGCAGAATTAATGCAGTCCTGACAACAAAAGCAGTCCAATGCGGTACCAGCAAGATGTGCCTAATGAAGTGGCCGGTGTGTAGCTCACACATTTCGTCTATTGTAACATTTGTGCATAAATCTTGTGACAAACTGTCCTGACAGTAGAGAGGCACAAGTCCTGTACAATCTCACCAGTGCATCCATCTTCAAATGATGAATTAATTTAACATCTTTGAAATTCAGTTTATTTGCTGCTAACATTAAACAGTCAGTGATTTTCTTCCTCAACAATTACAATAATGTGGATATTTTCTATAAAAACAATTCATATGCTCACACACATAGCATATTTTCTTAATGATCTACACCCACAATTAAGATCTTAGTCATGTGTACGGGACAGCATGTTCGGTGTTACAACAGGAAAACCCTTCCCCCGGGTGCCAGAGGAGAAAAATGGCAGTGATAGCAAACTTCTGGCACACGCAAGTCCAAATGCAGCACCTGAACTTGTCCAAGCCACACCCGAAACTTCTTAAGCTGCACCTGTGGGTGTAGCACACTAAACTAAGAGCGATGAGTGTTGTAGAAACATGTAGCCTAGAGATACTGAGAAACGCACACACATCGGTTTCACAATCACACCAACCCGCAGATCTTTCATAACTGCAGCACACCGACTCTCTGTACTTTCACTGAGTGCATAAGGCTGTAAATATCCTTAACCTGCTTAATGCAAGCAGGAAAATGATATTGTAAGTGCAAATGAATAATCTGCATTCTAACTGGCCTCTTTTATTCATAGCATTGATCAAATTTCTTAGCATATCTTATGAGATGAAGACACACTCACAGTATAGGTTGTAACAGATCCTTGATCTCTCTCAATGAATGTATTGATTACAGTCAATAAGAAGTAATTGTTGTAAGTGCAGTTGCAACGTGCTAGCGGCCTCACCTTTGTGCATTTTTCTCCCAAATAAGCAACACATCATGTCCCAGTCCTGCAGGGGATGTAATGTAATATGGCTGTAGCTGTGCATTGATGAGTCCAGGTGTGCTTCAAAAATGTTGGGCAACCTGAGTGGGTCAGTTTTCTGGTTAAGACAGAACACCTTCATTTAAATACCATCTGTAGATTGAAGTAAATGAAAATGTGGGTAATTTGGTTAGTGGATTTTTTTCTTCCATGAGTTATAAAGAAATGGGAAGCTTGCTCTCCTTTCAAGCCTTTCCATCCTTACCCAAATTTGTCCACACCTCCCAGTGAGGCCCATGCACTCACAGCTGAAAGGCCATTGCTTTAAGCTCTATAACCGGTTTCTCTGAGCATTGTGAGGCATTGTGAGAGAGCATTGTGCAGGGCATTGAGCTCCCAGTGTGTTTTGGGGAATAATGCCTATGTGGGAGTGTGCATCTGAGAAGACAACAGACACAGACAGAGGCCATTTATCAAAGACCTTTTGGAGCCGCCTCAGGCGATACATACCATCTACACACAGACACATAACACTGCACTCTTGTTCTTATTTTGACAGCATGCTTTGGATGTTTAGACACAGGAAGGACAACGAGACACACAGAAGCCACGCAGATCAAGCCCAAATCAAGCCACTTAACTGTGGCTCAAGAGCACAAAATCGGTTCTTTCATATTTTTTTTTTCTACTCTGTTGAAAAGCCAGAAAGAATTCCTCACAATGAAACAGTGCAGAGGTCATAAGAGAAAGCTTTCCACCTTAAATCAATCAATTGGAAACCCTCCCTGTGTCAGTCTGGCAACTCCAGTTTACTTTCATGCATATTAGCTATAACGTGTGACACACATACTCTATAGAGACAATTTTATAATAATTAATGTAGTTTGTCCTTGGTGATTTTTAAATACATATACAAAAATAAGGAATTAAGTCTCTTTTCAGGACAATAGATAAAATTTATAGTGTTTTCCAGACTTCTTGAAGGACATTCAAAGCTTTTCTTTGGATGTTGATGACTTTTCTGTCAAGATAATCACACACTGCTTTAATAATGTTAAGGTCCAGTGCCTAGTGTTCCATGGTAAAGATATATCCACTTCCAGACATGCATACATGCATTCCCAGTGTAGATTACACATACCTGTGCTTTTCTCCTTCTAACTTAACACTGGCTTCTTGACCTCCTTTTATTGAAACCACTCCTGATGAGGCTTTAGTGAACAGTAGGTTTTTTCCCTGCAGATACAATTTCACATTTGTTCTTTGCTATGTTGTCTGTTATTTGTAGATGCAACTCAGATTCATCCCTTGAGTTAGTTGTCTATGCTTGAGTTATGCAAAAGGGCAGCAATAGGTCAGTAAACAAATAAAATCAAAACTTGAAAATCTTCAAAAAGTCTGGAGAACTGCTTCTCAAGATCAAGTCTGGCTCCTTTGAAGCAAATATAAAGAAATGAGGGCTGGCTGAAGACTTTTGCACAGTAGTTTAGGTAACATATGTGGATGAATTTTAGCTCAAGGGGTGACAATCTCATTTTTATGTTTGCTAGGTCACTTTCATTATACTGAAGTATTCCAGCAGCTGTAGGAGGAACTGCCTTTGGTACATCTGTAATTTTGGGATCTAACTGTGATCCAACTAGTAAGTTTGACTTTACTAGGACTGTAGTTTTTGACCAAATACCTACAATCTTAGGGACAGACTGGGCTTGTGTACTCCCAATAGCCAAACGTTAGCATGCTAACAAATGGAAATAATAAACATTGCCAATAAATACCTGCTGGAAAATTTCCAGCTAAACCACATTAAAATCATTTAAAGTTGTTTTTTCCTCATTTTTCCTCATTGCAACCTCAATCGGAAGAAGCTGAGTTTATTCCATCGATGTCATCATGTAGTTACATGTCCTGTACAGTGAATGTTCACGTAACGAGCAACAAACTCAGCTCTTTTT